TGTCATCCAAACTGAAGTCATTAATTTCTGTTTCTCAAACCTCACCAACCTGGGGCTGCCTCAGGGAAGCAGCCATTCTTTTGCTCATCTTCAGTAAGCCTTCGAAGGCGCCTTTCCTTTCAGCAAGAAGGTGTGTCATCTGCGTATCACAAGTTGCTAATGAGTCTTCCTCCAACCCACTGCATATTCTTCATGTAGTTTAGTTTCTGAGATCCTTGCCTGCCTTACTCTTTCCTTCTTGTTGTTTTGGGCTGAGACTTGTAGCTTCCCATTTCCCAAATAACTGTGAAACAGAGAGCATAGGAAGAAGTCTTCTGAATCCCTTAGTTTCCTAATCTCTCTTCAGAGCATGCTTACGCGTGGTTGAGCAGAGTTCTCAGGGTTTTTTTTCCCTGCCCTCATACTCCTGACAGTCCCTTCAGTGATCTAGAATTCCCCCTGTCCAGGGACATGTGTCAGAATCCCTAGGAGACAGTATGTAATTTGAGGAAATCCAGCACTGGGGAGATGAGGGACTCCCTTTCTCCAGAATATTTGAGAATGACTGAGTCAGATAGAATACTCTTTTCCTGATGCAAAGCCCTCAGTCTTAGAAAGTATACCAGCAACCTTGAAGGAAAGATGCTTTGAGACCTGGATGACTGGAGTGGCTGTGGCTATGACATTGTCAAACGTCTAGCAGTGGAAGAGGAGAGATGCTTCTGTTGGAAGAGGAGCTAAACAGGTAGGAACATGTCTTCCAGTTGGGGAGTCAGGTATAGATACAGCTGTTTCTGGAGACAGAAAATGAGACGCATGTTGTGATAAAGATATAAACAGGATGCTACCTGCACATAACACCAGCATAGAGAGAGGTCAGGTGGCCTAGCGGGCAAAAAGTGATGCTACCAAGCCAAAGTTGGATGGCTCTAATCTCCGTCCCTCAGGCCTGTGTTTGTTTTTTGGTGAAACATTCTTCTATGTCGTATAGCCCTGCCCTGTCCACTTGCTGTAAAGAGAGGAAACTCGTGGTTGCTGTGAAACTGAACACTGTGACACTGATGAGTCAAATGTGATAATGGTTACCCATGGTAGATAGTATTTGGTGGAGCTCCCCGATTAAAACAAGCTTGGAAGCAGGAGTGGCATCAACTTCTGAAATAGCTTGCCTCTGGAAACCCTGTGAACCTGGAGAAAGGGCGAAAGTTATACAGGTGTCCAGGTCTTTCATTCATAGTGTCGCTATGTGTCACCTATGACTCAGTGGCACTTAATAACAACAACAACCTGCACGTATGGGACAATCATTCTGGGAGGTGGTATTTGACATAGTCTTTGAATAAGATCTAAGAAGACGACTTCACCCTGAGAGAATGGGGACACTGAAGCCGGCAAGGATGCAGGCATTTGCTCAAGTCAATACATCTCAGCTTTCAGCCCACGTCTGTAGACTCCAGTTCTCTTCATGACATTGTTTCACACTGGACCAAAAAAGGGCTTTCTCAGGCTCACGGAGACTAATGTACACGAAGTCAGAAGCTGAAGGTTTACAGTGAAGGGAAGAGTTTCTGTGCCCTCGTCTGTGTCCTTCTCATTAAACTAAGATTCAAATTTGTCAGCTGAGAGAGGGGAAGGGTGAATTTAGGCATAAAGTTTTCAGAGAGAAGAGGTTCAGGAATTGAGAGCTAGTAGAGAGGAAGCAGAGAGAAAGACTTTGCTAACTGATGTGTCTTCTAAGATCCGAGGGCATGGGTTCTCAGGCAAACTAGCCTGCTTGGAGAGGTAGAGAGACTTCCTTCAAGATAGAATCAAATTGGAAAGATTCTAGTTGTAGCGCTGAACATGCTTCAAGCTACAAACACTTCTGGTTTATCTTGAGATACCCGCACACTCCAGGGCTTCTCCAACCCACAGCCCCTTCTCCTAGGATGGATTAGACAGTCCCACTCCACCTGATGACGGGCCAGAGCTGACCTGTCTGGTCCCAGGCCCGGTGCTGCCTCGGTCCCAGCCAGGTGCACCCTTGCCTGGGTTGCCATTCTGATATGAAAATAGTCTAAGCCCTTGACTCAAAAATAACAACATCTGCTAATTTGCATGAAAGCCTTGCATTTCATATTTGGATTTAATACCCAAATGCTAAACTTCATTTGCTTGGCCCAGTTAAGTGGTTTAGATCCGGGCTTTGAACCAGTTCATTCTGGTCTGATCATCCCCCACTCCCACCCCCCATGGCTAAAATCTGCATTTCCACCCTAGATTTAGTGAATTGGGATGCCCGTTTTAACAAGTTCCCTGGGCAATTCTTATAGATTCTTTTTAAGATCTTGTTAAAGTGTCGATTGTGGTTCTGTGTTACCTGGGGTGGAGAGACAGTCCAGCAGGGGTCTGACGTAGAATGAGGTGAGGCAAAGCCCTGGTTTACAAGTTGGGCGTTTGAAAACAACTCACTTGGGGGCTCCACTCAAGTGTACCCAGACTCAGATGCCCACCCAGTTCTCTCCGATTCTTCTCACTGAGGGGATTGATTCCAGTGGATTTATAGGCTGAAAAGTACTTCAAAGACATTTACACAGAGGATTGTCATTTTCAAAAGAGTCAAGTGCCTCCCCCCAAGTTCACCTTCAGTCTGAGGGGCCCAGAGCCGCCTCCCTCGTGTCCTCTGAGGCCTCAGATTCCCGACAAGCAGCTCCCACCTCGGAGCTTCCTGGAACTGGTGTGAGGGCAGCGGCCACTGGGTGCGAGGTTTGCACCAAGACAGCAGACAAGGTGTTAATGAACGGCCACCCAGCCTCCTTCTCCATAAAGGCAATTACTGGGATTGATCGTTTCCGTGTTTCCTTAGTCACGCTCCACGTTGCCTCCTTTGCTCAGATTAAGACAGATGAATGCCAAACGCACGCAGCCATGGGATGCTGGGAGAATTATCGACCACATGGCCGAGGCCCCTGGTTCCCCTACAGATGTAACTGGGGGTCGCAGCAGGGCAGAAAGGGAAGCACAGAAGCAGTGCTGAGGGTGTGAACTTGCGGACTTAGGGATTTTAGGTCACATCCGTTCTGCCTCAGTGCCCAGAACACCGAGTGTATGCTATATGCCCACCGCCAGAGTTTCTGGCTTCCTCAGGGTTAGGCCTGAGAAACTGCATTTCCAACAAATTCCCGGCTACAGTAGGGCTTGAGAGCAAGGACTTTAGAGCAAGACTTAGGCCTTCACTCCTGGCTCCACTACTTGGTAGCTGTGTGATCCTAAACCAATTACTTACCCTCTCTGTGCCTCCATTTCCTCATGTTTAAATCGGAGGTGATAATAACAATACCTGCGGGAGCTCTGGTGGTTGTTCAATGCTAACGGGAGTGGAGCCGTACCAGCAGCCATCCAGGTCCCCTTCTCAAACCACGCTTAACCCTTTGAATCTACTCAACTCACGGAATGCGACTCCATGGGCCTGAGACGCCTGCTGTGCCGCATTAAGGGCTTCTCTCCCTTGCATGGCCTTTAGGAGGGGCTGCCTGTTAATACAGCCTCAGACTGGCCACAGTAATCCTATGCCCAAGGTAGACCTTTACACACAGTTTTCACTTAATCCTCATAATGTCCCTAATTAATAATAATTATTGTCAAAAAATAATAATTATTGTCCCTATTTTAATATTACTAGAACTCAGAGAAGTTAAGTGAGTTATACAAAGTTATGTCCTAGCAAGTGATAACTAGCTAGATCTGCCTGCCCTCAGAGTTCATGGTCAGAAAGCTCTGCTCTGTTACCTCCCTAACTTTAGGGGGAGAAAAAAAACTAAAAAAATATATATATACACACACACACACACACAATTTTTTTTCTTTTTAAATCACTGCTGTCAAGTCAGTGACCCATAATTGACCTTCTACTGGGTTTCTAAGACTATAAATTACACAGGAGGAAATTGCCCATCTTTCTCCCAAAGACCCACTAGTAGATTTGAACCACCAAAGAGGCACAGACTTTGGGTTAACAGCACAGCTCCCTACAGACGAAGCCACCAGAACTCGCTATACAAATATATAGATTAAATACATACATTGTTGTTGTTAATGATGATTGCCGTCTAGTCGAGCACGACTCACAGTGACCCTACGAACAAAGACCTGAAGCCTTTCTGTAACTATCGTTCCTCAAAGTTCACAGGGCTTCCGGAGGCATGTTGTTTAGGAAGTGGATGCCACCCTGCTTCCTTCCCCTCCGTATTCTATATATTTATCATATATGTGTATATTATATATGTATATGGACAGGTTTAATCTGCCACCATCAAGTAGATTCCAACTCTGAGGTTTCTGAGATGATAAATCTTTGTGAGCAGAAACTGTCCAGCTTCCTCTCTCAGAGCTTCTGGTAGATTCAAACCATTAATCTTTCAAAGAGGAGTACAACACGCTATGCACTATGCCATCAGCACATTCCCTCTCTCCATACGTGTGTGTGTGTGTGTGTGTGTGTGTGTGTGTGTGTGTGTGTGTGGTGGTTGTTGATTGCCATCAAGTCAAGCATGACTCATAGTGACCCTATGAACAAAAGGCCTGAAGCCTTTCTGTAACTATCGTCATTTATCAAAGTGCATAGAGTTTCCAGGGGGCATGTTGTTTAGGATATACAGAGAGAGAGATACTCTAGAGAGGGAGGAGCAAGTGCTCCCCAAAGTCAGCCCCCTGTGACTACAGCTGGCCTCTGTGTCAGAGTGTCGCCCTCCTAAGTCCATTTCAGTGATGAGAGGATTCATACTCATTTGGGAAACATCCTCGGCAACTGGCAACCACTTACCCTCCTGGTTAATCTCTTGGTTTGACTTCTGGGAGGAATTGTGTTCAGTCCCCTAAGGCACCTTTTCCTGCCTGAATGCGGAGACTGGTTTAGTGCCTTACCATTTCTGCTGTCCACCGCTGCCCTGAGCTACACAGTCAGCAGAGCGTGCAGAGGCAACATTGAGTACGTGAAGGGAGAAAATGCAAAGCTAACCAGCCTCTCCCTTGTCTCTCCACAGTGTTCCTTTCTGCCAAAATTCTCCATTCACATAGAAACCAAGTACGAGGACAACAAGGGAAGCAACAACAGCGTGAGTACCCGCCTTGACCCCTCCTAAGCTTGGTGTCTTGGGCTCTGAGGGTCACGGTTCTTGCCCCGGGCCTGCGTGGGACTGGGCCATTAGCTGCATCTGGGCCTAGGACTTCAGAGAAGAGCCACCCTTAGCTTCTGAGGCTATTTCTACTCTTGGAGTTATTTTGTGGTCCAGTTTTTCTTTCTTCTGTTTGTTTATGCACTTTCTATGAGCCTTTGTGTGGAGTGGAAGTGCTCAGAGCTGGTAAGACGTTGGGAACTCAGAAGACCAGGATTTGGTTTCTCCCCTTGGCTTGTTCATTCTCAATGGGTAATGCTGACCTAGAAAATAAATGTAATCAACTGTGTATGCATATTGTATATAACTGCTGGACTATTTTTACATTCACATATATATATTCTACCTTAAAATTAGGGTGTGTCAGGGAGCTCTAGTGGCAAGACACTGCACTGCAATCCCAGGGGTACGTGGTTCAAATCCACCAGATGCTCTGCTGGAGAAGGAGGGGGCAATCTCCTCCTGTATCAGTCAGATCTGATTTGACAGTACACGTAAAAATAATACAATAAAAATGAAAAAAAAAATTAGGGTGTGTCCTGCAGAATACTTACCTCCTTAGGCATCCAAGTCTTAGTAACTTTGAGCAGAGTACTTTGTTTATTACTGTTGCTTAAGATCTATGTTCTGACCCGGCTTTTGCCTCCAGACTCCTCCTGCTGGGAGAGTCCATTTCTAGACCCCCTTTTCCTTGTGGGTGAATTACTGGATCAGGGGAGACCCTCCCTCGGCGTATGACCACCTGGATAGTCTCTTGAGCTACATTGTGGGGATTATTGCCCAGAGACAGAGGAGGTCCCAAAGAAGGTAACATCTTCAAGGAGCTTGGCCTCAAGTGAGAACTGCATTTTACACCAGCCTGCTAAACGAGGACACACATTCTTTTTTTATAAACAAAGCCAAAACCACTGCTGTCCTGTGAATTCCAGGTCCTAGTGACCCTGTAGGACAGAGTGGAACTGTCCCAGAGGGTTTCCAAGGCTGTCGAGCTTTACAGAAGCGTACTGGCCCATCTTTCTCGTGCCGAGTGGCAGGCGTGTTAGGTTCACGGATTTGGGGCGGAGGGGGGTGTGTGTGTGTTAGCAGCAAGTGCTTTAACCACTGCACGACCAGGGCTCCTCATGAGTTGCTGGGGTTGTTCCCCAGCCGTCAGGTATGTGCCGTTTAGCTGAGAAGAGAACGTCCGTGCAGTGAGAGAGTTGAAAGGTTGGTACTTTGTTTTGGTCTGAAGAGTCACTGCTGGTCAGCCTCCAGAGAGCGTTGTGAGCGTTTGTGGACGGCCTCCACTGTGGATGCATCTGTAGACAGAAACTGACTTGACTTTAGCTTCACAAATGATGTCAGGGAACTTGGCGTTTATCAGAATCAGCAGATTACTTTTTTGGTAACTGAGTTTTCATTGGAACCTAGCCACACTTGCATTTGCATATTATCTGTGACAGCTTTGTACTACAAAGGCAGGCTTGAGTAGGTGCAATGGAGCGTATGATCTGCAAAGTGGAAAGTGTTTACCATCATACCTATTTTTTTTTTACCGTCTTATTTTTACAGGGGAAAATGCAACCTGTGATTTCTCATTGGCAATTAGGTAGAACCAACTCAGAGCTGCCTCTCTAGTCAGTTCTCTGAGGCTATAAATCACACGGGAGGAGATGTCCATCTTTCTGCCTTGGAATCCAGCCGGTGGATTCAAACCCCCCACCTCTGTGTCGCAGCACAACTCCCTATCCACTGGGCCACCAGAGCTTCCTAAAGAAAGACTCAAATCAGAATAGCACCTGCCGGCTCTCAAAATATGCCCATCCATATGATAGACCTCCCCACCAGCTGTCCTAGGCATAGACTTTCTCCAGAGTTCCTGGAACTTTCCAGAGGGGAGAAGAATCCAGCCACCAGGGACACTCATCTCATACTAAATTCAGCCAAAGCATGGTTAGTGCCCCAGGATGATGACCTCCAGGGAGCAGTTTAGCTCGGCCTCCCGTTGGCTCCACTAACAGACCTACCACAAGCGATTTCTTTAACCAACAGAAGTGTGCTCCTCAGAGAGTGGGTGGTTGCTCAGTTTGAATTTAGGCTGCTGGTTCTAAAGGGTTTCCTTCTCTGCTGCCTTTGGAGGGAGGTCCGAGTCTCAATGTTCCCTGGAGATCTCCACATGCCTACCAATCCCACATGTTGAAGGAAGTTTCCCGCTGGAGGGACTTGAGTCCAGAGGACTCAGCTCTTCTTTGCTGGTGGTGCCAGGGTCCCCTTTCACTCTGTGCCGCTTAAATCTCTTTAAAATAAGTGATGGTGCCGGACACGCCTCATGGAACTTGCGCTTACTTCACATCAGGGCTGTGCTGAGATTAAGGGTGTTGCTACCCACGCGTATTAATCCTTTTACAGCTGATTGGCTTATCATTACATGACTGAGAATCACGGCGCAGCCAAGTGAACACATCTTTTGGGAAAGCACAGTTCAGTCCATGACAAATTGTTTCCAAGGAGATCACGCACACAGGCACCAGGGCTTCAGACGGAAGCCTGCCTTGTCAGAGGACACAGTTTGGTCAACTTCAGTGTCAAACTTTCTCAGATCCACGCTCTGCCGGGTTGTTACTGTGAAGGAGCCCCACCCCTCCACTGCCTGGCTGTGCCCCAGGGAGCCCCCAGGTCTTGCTCCTCAGGCCACTGATCCAAATGGTCAGTCCACACGTCCCCACCTGATTAGACTTCTCCTCTGGCAGATCTCTCATCTTCTCATTTACATATTTAACAGCAGCTGATGATCCCCCAACTGGCCTGAGCTTGGCCCCAGGGAGATGAAAGAAGAAGGCACCCTCAGTTTTCACTCAGAATTGGTAATGCTTCTAAATCAGAAATGAAAACAATAGTATTTTAGTTACTAAAAAGAGAATTGGTGCAGGGGTCAAAACTTGAGCCTTCCAGAACTCTCTTACATTTCTATTGGGGTGGAGAATGATACAACCACTGTGGAGAGGAGAACACAGCTTGAGCACAAAAGTTAGAAAGAGAAATAGCTTATGATGTGGCAAGTCCAGTCCTGGGTTTGTATGTGCTGTAAGCTCATTGACACAAGCGGGCATACACGCACTCCTGCTCCCTGCACAGTTATGCATAGTAGCAAAATGATGACAGCAAACCAAGCACTCATGAATGGATGAAGAGATAAGCAAACTGTAGTTCAGATGTACAGTGAACGCACCTTAGGTCAGTGAGTGGCCTCTGGGGTCTTAAAACCTTGCAAGTGGCCATCTCAGATTCACCTCTTAATCTCTTCCCATCTGGAGCAAAGGATAATGAAAGAAACTAAAGACTGAAGGGAAATATCAGCCCACAGGACAACGCTACCTTGACACAAATAACCTGCATGTTGTGTATTTTTTTGTTTTGTTTTACAAACTTAACAACGCTCTCTCGAATTAGTCTCCTACGTGCATTATTCACCTTCATTTCATTTTATTCTTACTCCCATTGAGTTGTGACCAACTCAGAGCAGACCCTCCAGCTTGTTTTCAGAGACAGTAAATCGCACAGGAGGAGACTGCCCATCTTTCTCCCACAGAGCTGCTGGTGGATTCAAACCATATGCCTTTGGGTTGACAGTGCAGTTCTCTACCTTTTAGGTCACTAGAGCTCTTCACATTATATGTGAAAAATATGGCAAAAGCCCATGAGAACTTCTTTTAAATTTAGCATAAAAGAACTAGTTGATGCCAACTACTAATATCAACCATGAAGCCATGTTAAAAGAGACCAGTATGAGTAAGAGAAAACATTAGCACAAAATTCAGATTTCTAAAATAAACAAACAAAAAGCCAGATTTGCTGGGCCAGTAGCGTCTAGTGGAACCTCTACGTCTATCCCCGTAAAATTCCCTTTGAACTTGGACCTAAAACAGCTTGGTGATCACCTTTCAGCCACATAATAGATTGGTGTATAAAATAAACAAGCTGACCCATGAATACTGTCCTCCCTTAAATCAGTCAACTCTATGGGACCAAACAGTCACCATTTGCCCTAAAACAAAGAAGAGAAACAAGGCAGGGGTAAGGGAGCTAGACTAATGGAAACAGGATACAAAGAATGGAAATAATGTGAATGTTGACAGGGCATGAAAAACGTAACCAGTGTCATGGAACAAGTTGTGTAACAGTGACTAAACAGGGAACCTCATTTGCTATGTAAACTTTCACCTGAAACACAGTAAAATATTTAAAAACAAAGAATCTGGAGCCTTCAGCACCCATCATGTGCTGGCATGCTCCTTGTCTGGTTTAGGCTAAGGGGAGGTGGCGATGGAGGGAAGCAGAGTTATTAAAGCAGAAAGCAGTGCAGAAACGGCTATTTCTCATCTCCTCATGTGCCAAACGATTTCATAAACCCAGTTCATCTTCTTGCATGCGCTAGGTGTATGGCCTTATCATGCAGCTCCCATCCTTTATACGGCTTTCTGATCCTTGTTTCCTTCCCTACCTGCCAAAAACCTTCATGAAATTGATGACGATAAGAAGCCATAATTAAATTGAAAGGCGGTGGTTATAATCATATTGGTTACTGGTTGAGTACCGTACATGCTGTCACCTTATTCTCAATTACCATAGACATGATCTTTTGCACATGACTCAATATCCTTTTTTTTTTTAAGCACAATGGCAGGGTGGCTTAGACATAAATAACACCTTCTCCTTAAAGTAAAACTTGTCTCTTATTATGGAAACCTGCAAACCGTGATCACATCAGCCAGGAAGCACAATGGAGAAGTGGTCTTTAATCAGGTTCGTTTGTTCTAGGCACATACTGATGGGGATTATTTCGGGCTTAGTTAGTGCTGGAGGGGAGGAGGCCCTGCCAAGGTAAGATTTGGTTGTTTGTCCAAGGCTCTAAATCTAGATCTGGGAGAGCCAGTGCTTAGCACCGTGGGGTTGAGCTCAAA